AATAGCTTAAATCTCATAATATTATACATTTATATATATATTTATTATTTATATTATATAGGTCTTTCAGCCATACCTGGCTAACAATACAAAAGTAACAGTGACTAGGCACACGTGCTCTCATGTTACCATATCCAATAATATAAAACTGACCTTTAGTCTGTAAAAAAGTGACTTGTCTTGGGTGTGTTTTAGTAGAATAGTATTTTGTGAAATACAGTCACATTTCCATTATTATAAATTACATATGTATATACATTATTTCTATCTAGAAATAAGTTCTTAAACTTATTTTTCTTAAAACATAGACCAGTAAATAAAAAAGTAAAGCACACAATTATCTCTTCTAGTTACAACCTTTGTACTCGGTTGCTGCTCAATGTAGGTTGCTAAGCCTTTTAAAATTTGGCACATGGAGGATATGAAATGAAAATATTGTTTTTAGGTTTTATATATATATTGGTTGAATAACCAAAAAATCATAAATTACTACATAAATACCATAGAATTCCTCCATAATTTATCAAGCTTGTATTTTGGTCTAAAAAAAATGTGAAATATTGAGCAGACTAAAGACACAACCAACTTCCTTGAAATCTTGGTTTGAAAGAAAGAGATGGTATCCAAACACATTAAAATGGCTAAGAAAGCCACTAGAGGGACATTCTGAGGTATCAATTGGTTATTCACATGTTATATATTGAAGTAAATGTATATAAGGGACTGTTTCTGAAAATCATTTGTTTGTTTGTTTTTTGAATTTCGCGCAAAGCTACACGAGGGTTATCTCCGCTAGCCGTCCCTAATTTAGCAGTGTAAGACTAGAAGGAAGCCAGCTAGTCATCACCACCCACCGCCAACTCTTGGGCTACTCTTTTAACAACGAATAGTGGAATTGACCGTCACATTATAACACCCCCACGCCTGAAAGGGCAAGCATATTTGGTGTGATGGGAATTCAAACCTACGACACGCAGGTTGCGAGTCGAATTCCCTAACCACCTGGCCATTTCTGAAAATGGAAAGAGGTGAGTGGAGCCACTGTGTTTAACTCAGTACATGAGTGATATCTCAACAAATAGAAAAGATATGAGGTTCTTATTTTATATTCTAGCTTTTTAATATTGGTAATTTGAGTTTCTAATTTGTACGAAACTATAGACTTAGAATTTTGACATCTAATTTGAACCAGTGCTGAATTCAACATACCATATGACAAACAAAAATCAATGTTTAACTGTGTTTTTTAATATTTACTTTTAAATTAAGAAATTGAGTAATGTATAATACTAAAATTTGAATTATAATCTACAGTTTGATACCAAAGTTATTGACATAAATTCATGAAATAGTAGTTCAATACAATTTTGAATGCGAGTCAACAAACGCGATGACATGGCCCTTGACTCGTGACCCGTCTGGAGAGGGTTACAAAAACTTAGTGATGAAAGAAATTTTTATTTGACAAAAGTGGAGGCAAAAAATATGAAAAACCATAGGAAACACCGCATTAGCTTATTTTTAGTAGGCAAATTAACTAAACATATACATACCATAGTGGTAATAAACATCACAAGTAACTTACTTTTAAGAGCTAAGTAAACTATACAATATACTTTTAGTAACCAGATTAATCAAGTAGCTTATTAACTAATTAAAACAAAAAACTTGCATAGGTCAAAGTCATATAAACAAACTAGTTAGAATAGCAATTTTATACTATTTGTAGTAGGAAAATCAAAAACATTTTTCATGATATCCTTTTGTAACTTGTACTGTAATTTATTTGGGTGGCCTAATGTGCTACAATTAAGTAGTTTAGATAAAATCAGTATCTTACACTGGTGTCTCTTGGATATTTTTTATATTCTGGCCTATGTCATCCTTAAACTCTTTCCAGACAGATATTCCAAGCATCTGTTTCAGTTCTTGGGCTTTCCTAATTTTGGCAGCCAACACATGTCGCAGAGTGGTAATTTCTTCCTCTGTCTGCAAAAATAAAACTACTACTATTATAATGATGAAAACAACTGAAACTAGTATGCCAGTACCAGAGGAAGTTTTCTTCATAGACTCATTTAACACAAAAAGGAAATATTAATACCTGTATTTCATATTAGTTCTTCTCAACTAAACAAGTTGTCTTAATAATTTAGTAACTATTTGAATAAAATAAACTGGTCTCAAAAGCTTAGTTATTCTTTCATCCCAACCAATCAAAAACTAATGTTTTAATATAGATAACTCTCCATGAATTTTAACAAAGAACAATAAAACAAACACTGTTGTATCGTGCACAAGTGGGGTCCAAAGTGTGAATGCTAGGACCTTTTACATAGTGCCATTAAACAAGGTATTATGTAGATGAAGTCTGAGTTATCAACAGTTTGTGATAGAGAAGAGTAAATATTGGTTACTGAAGAAAACAGCAAATATGTATTTCAGAGGTTCTTCAGGTTATGTAAATACAAACTGTAGGATAGATAAAATTATGTTTATTCTTCACACGAACATCACCCTGCACCTTGACATGTCAGAGTCAGACTGATATTGTCTTTTCACAGATGTATCTTGAGTACAAATACTTTTATAACATGACATTTTATGTACAATAGACAATATTCGTCCTCCAATATGGAGTTCGTTCAATGGACCGATCCCATGCACATTCAGTTAATATACTTTTTCTTCCTTTCAAATTTTATTTTCTTGAGGTACCAAAAACAAATTAATTGCATTCAAATGCCTAAAGGTATTATTTAATTTGTTTCAGTCAATCAGTTTTCACTGAACTGAAACTATTACTTAACAACAGTCTAATAACAAATCAACAAATATACAAATACATTTCTAAATAATCAATAAAACTGGCAAACACATGGTATTATACAACATAGTTTTTTTTTACATAATAACAATAAAATAATAATTATATCAATAAGTTATCCTTTAAAAAAAGATTGACTAAATGGGTATATTCTTTCTTCTAAACAGAAAACTATGAAACTCGCCTTTGCTAAATCCTGTTCTAACAATGTTCTTTGGTTAGGATCCATGTTGGAAAAATCATGGATCCCACTGTCTGGAGTTGTGGCATCTCCCTTTATTTCTTTTGATGTATCATAAAACTCCTCTGAAAAGATGGCATTAATTAATATTGCACATTTGAAGCATAAAAACTTACAAATGATTCTTTAAATGTTTCTGTAAAAAACAACAAAGAAAGGAATTGCAATTACAAATCATCTTAAGTTGTGTACATGTAACAGATGCCTGTAGGATATTTATCTAATAGTACTTATACACATATCTTACAGATAGAAATAAATTAGATGCTTTGACTGTTGTGGAGAAGAAGGTACAGGCCCTGTGGAAGAAGTAAAACACCAAAGCATGTACTCCCTTGACAGACAACGGCAGTGTTGGGAATCACGAGAAATTGTAAATGTAGAAAATGCAATAATGTGTGGGAAACAGGTAATTAAAATATGTAACACAACATAATACATGATAGAATCAAAGCATACAAAATAAAAGGAAAAAAATCATGTTTAGTCAGATAGGAAAACTGAAATTAGAAGAAGAACACTGGGAGAATGCTTATAGCTATACCTTTGTTGACCCCATTCCAAAACTGAGATGGGGCACTTTAACTTCCTAGAGATAATTCATCTAATATCATCACACTGAAAGATGAAAAAAACTTTGTTTGCAACATTCACTCCCCATCATGTTTCTGCTTCTTTGACTTCTCTTGCCAAACTTACTTGGAGGTGAAATTGTGCTAGAGTCATGGGTCTGGGATATAGGGAACAAGGTTGCAGCTTGTTAAAGACATACGAAAAATATGGGCTACAACTTTTATGACTGATCACATGCTGATGAGCTAAAGATGCACACAAAATTGTCCCTCAATTTTGAGGAAAGTGCAAAAGTGTAAGAAACAGTTAACATATATGACAGAATATTCAATACATTTTATGTCATTATTCAAGGCTAACTATTTTGTGACATTGTTCAGACTTAGTTTGAAGTATTGTTAGTTTAGTCAAATTTTCAACCAATGTTCAAATACCTGTACTTTTTAATTCAAAAGGTTTCAAATTCATAAACGAGGTCTTCAAGTGAATTTTAAATCAAAACCATTTCAGACTCTAAATCAAGGTTTTTGACAAATAATAATTCACGTTGGAACTGTTAATTTAAGCAATTTCATAATTAAAATTCGATCAAATTTTAGAAAATGCTTTTGCACATCCCTACTCAAGTTCGATGACGAGGAACCCACTTTGAGACTAATAATGGTTGGAGACGGCTTGAATGGGTACCTGATGATGACAAAACCTTGTCGAAACGTAGTACATTTGCTGTTATGTTAAATTTATATTGAAGTTTTTCTTCATTACCCATTCAAGCCATCTCCAACCATTATTATACATCCCTACTCAGTTTTTCTTTATTGGAACAACATTAGTTTACCCTTTCATTAACAATTTACTTTAACTTTACACAACTGCATTCATCTTTCATTTGGGCCTCAAATGAACTATTAACTTGAGAGAAAACAACATATTTTTTTTTAGATTTTTGCCAGCACCTTCTGATTTTATTTTTACTTCTGGAAATATAAGTTTAAAATCACTTAATGTTTTAATAAAGATAACAAGCCTTGCAAAAAAACAAACAAACATACATACTGTACCAAAGAGTAATAGCTACCCATAATGTAAGACAGAAACATGTTGTTATGAAAAGCATGCCATATAAATAAGTACATGAGCTATAGTTACCAAATGCTTGATGAGAAGATAGGAGAAAATTGTCAATTATAGAAATCTACAGGGAAAGAGATCTATTTTAGTCCAAATGTAAAGCAATGGTCACCCCCCCCAAAAAAAACTCTTCCTTTATTCTCTAACTTCACAATTTCAAACAACTTTGCCCTTTCCCCTTGCAAAAATTTCTGCGGACGCCCATAAGAACTCAAAGAATATAAGGGCTGGTGGAAGAACTGGAACCATGAATATATTACAAGCACAAGTTGAATAATTAAAGTAAATTTTCATTAAATAAGAATGTAAATCACCTACACGCAATATTGACAATATTAGATGCTATAATATTATCAATTTTGCCTACATCAAATGTTTCAAGTAATTTGGTGCATAAACTCCTTAAAAAATATGCTTAAAATGCTTCATCAGTAATTCTAAGGTTAAGATAGTGATACCTGAGAAACAAAGCAAGGCTTGGTGTTTTTAATTGCACTTTTATGAATAAATCTTCATTATTCATAACAAAGCCTGAAAATGCATATCCAAACTTAAAGGTGTATAATTACAAAGGTTTATAAGTAAATTATGTTTTAGCTAAGGCTATATAATATAATTGTTGTGTATATAGTTAAATGAAAACAACTACATGCATTTCATTTAGACATACACAAGATTACAGGAGGGCAAGCTGGAGCAGTTGTCCCCTCTTCTTTACTTTCTATCAAATATAGTATACATACGACATTTAAAGTAAATTTTTCAGATTTTTTTTTTTTGCCTCCCAACATTTTGGTCCCAAATCCAATTCATGCATTCAGGAAATTAATAATTTTGAATATATACATGAAATGTTTTGGAATTTTGCATATTACACATTCACAGTTATGTAGTTGAACTACATAGCTATACACACACAATACTGTCGATAGTAGTGTACATGATCATGAAAACACGTCATAAAGGTATATAATAACAAGTGCATGACTACTATTTTAAGCCTTTTGAGTAACAGCTGCATAGCCACCATGCATATAGTCAAACAAAAATAACTATGTGACTACTGTAAAAAGGAAATTACAATTTCCAATATATACACGAGTAGCATGTATATATTGGAAGATTCCATATTTTAGTTGCAACCAAGTGATCTACATACTAACACAACCTAAAGTAACCAAACCTAAGCTAATATGATTTGGTCAAATCTAACCTAGATGATGTAGAAAATACAATTATTTCTACACCAATCATGGTTACTTGTGAAATAAGGCACCAAGGTAAACAACAATTAATATTTCAATTCTTTTACTCTGGTAAAAAAAGACCCACAAATTGTTTCATTTTGCAAGAGAAACACAAAAAGACAAGTTTGCTCAAGATAAGACAATCAGATGTCACAAATTAGATTTGAATGCCTGACCCTATAATCTTGAAACTGATTCCTTTGTCCATTACGCTGCCAAGCCCTGCTACATGCAAAGAAATGTGAGTACTTACACAAACATGAACAATCATGTTTTTCCATTGAACAGTAAGTACACAATTGTCATGTATAGTTTTTACTTGTATCATTATTAGTTGCATAGGAAGGTGTTGCAAAGTGTGGATACTTAGCTAGATATGTAGATTTCACAATGAAAGACTGAAAGTATAAGGAGCTCCTGTGCTCCCAAAGGCAGTTCAATCTAGGAGGGGTCTGTGTGCATGCACCTCAGAAAATTACTATAATAATATAATTTAGAGTTGCTATATAATTTATAAGTCAAATATATAAAAGTGGGGTGCTACACTACCCTGGTTCTGGTGCTTCTGATTACATTGCATCAAGAGGAGAAATGACAGATTTTTTTTTCTCCATGGACACAAGCACTAATTTAAAGAGATAACTGGCAATGCTTTCTAAGTAAATGTAAGTATTGAACATCTCGTGAAGTATTTATCTTGTCACACTATGTAAGTATGTTACATTCATACCTTTTATATGTAGTATGATGGCATTGTTAGATAATGTCATATATATTCAGAGTTAATATTGAATAATAAGATTGTGGAATGGTAAATATAGAACCATTTTGTCTCAACTACTCTTCAGCAGTTTTAATTTTAGCTTTACACCTGTGTGGTGACAAATGGCCAATACACGTGATTTATAGTTATACGCTACAAACACAATGAACTAAAGATGTTACTATTTTAATATTATTATAAAACTAAAATTATACGACAAAATGTATTTTTATTTTAGGCCTAACAAACAGGGTTTTGTTAGTTTACAAGCTGTAAAATTTATGTAAATTGTAACTGAGACGAACACCTTTGTTTTACCTGATAAATCAGGATATGCCATTTGCTTTTCTTCACCAGGACTGATTTCCATTGCACTTAAGTTTAAGAACACCTAAATAAACTCAAATGTAAAATGTAAGGTCTGCGCTGCAAAGTACAGTATTGCACTACTATTTTTATTAACCTAACAAATTCTACCGTACTCAAGCGTAGAATACGTTAACCGTAAAATAGCCTCCGTCACCAAACATCAACTATTAATAGTTCTGTGGTGTATCGCAAGAGGACGCAATAATGACTCCTTTTTTTATTATTATTATGATTACTAACAACTTAAAATGATTATATTTTATTATCATAGAAGAATTTGAAAACCAAAAAAAGAAAAAACAACAACAAAAACTAGTCAGACAAAGTAGTTGTAAATTTGAAATTCCACAATTTCCTTAATTCTATTTGAAAATATATAGCGCGTTATATAACAATGTTATCAAAATATATGTATGATGATACATTTCTATCTTTATAAAAGTAAACAAAAATTGCTTGATTTTTGTTTGTTTGTTTGTCCGCGACTATTTCTTGGTCTTTGGAACAATCTCAATCAATCTTGATAGGATGATACATTAGACCAAGGTCATAAGGTGGTTATTACCCAGTCCTACTCATTTGAACCATGACCACAGCAAAAATGTTTTTGTTTACCTAATGACCCAACAGTCTAAAATTTTTATTTTTGAGTTTTTCCATTAAAATTGTCAAACATTCAAATTTTTCTACAAAAAATTGTAACCAAAAAACAAGGTCAGACCCTTAAAGTGACAGGGCTATACGTGAAAACCTCTTGCTTTTCTCATGGTCAATTCTATGTTGGGTGTTCAAAAGTAGGATCACCAAGAAATCTCTTTATTTTGGCCCAAGAAGGAGGAAGAACTTTTATGTGGTCAATCAAGAATCGCTCAGAGTATCAACAAACACTGAGGCTGTATAGAGTGATTAGTAAAAGTAATAAAGTAAAGTACAGTAATTGCAACAACATTTCTGCAATGTGACCAAAGTAAGTGTAAAATAAATAGGTGGGAAATGAAGTAGTTGTAAAGTAAATTATTTGTGGAATAAGTTGTGCATAATTTATTAGTTCAAGCCCTAAATTCAGTCCTTACGACCCTGGACTTAGGACTAGTACAATGTGAGAAACTGAGATAGATACATAGATAGAAAACGTCAAATAAATTTTGTAACAGCTAATCTTAATCTTACAATTACAGCAATTTTGATGTTTTCAAATCAGCTCTTCAGTATACAAGATTCTGAATAACCTCTAGGTTATTCACAGTTACACATGCGCACATTTACCCGAACTCTACAAAATAAGAGGTTTTAAATCTAAAGGTCTTAAGCGGATGCCAAAAAAGTCAATTGGTCTTTACTCGCCCATATTGGACGTCAAGTGCTTTCATTCGTCTTACGCAAAAGATGACAAATTCATATTATAATATTGTGTTATGTGAAGCTGTCAGTGATCTTAGCGATGTCCATGAAGAAAGATATATCGAGGAACTGCATAACATTCGACCTTCTCATTTTTTTTACAGCTGGTCAAAGAACTAAAAACATGCGAATCTTGTATTGATTTAGATTGCATTTTAGCTTGTAAATTGATAAACTTACCGCTGAGGGACATAATATATCTGGCCGGTTTAAATGCAGCTATCATGTAATGCTAAAGTTCTCCCCCCCCCCTATGTTATCGTAGTGTTACGAATAAATCTTGCTTGTCTTTTAAAAAGGAATAATTGGCAGATAAGGCCCTTGGATATGCCAGGACTTGCTAATTTGTATCATTGGCAGATAAGACCCTTGGAGATGCCAGGACTTGCTAATTTGTGAAGATAACTTACTCTAAAATTTTGTATCTTCCGGGCTTTTAATTTTCTAATTTCCGCTCATGTTTTTGTATCTGTTTTGGTTCACTGAATCTTTGAAATGATGGGAAAAAAAGAATTTTCTGGTTTAAAATTCATAAACCGTAGAAAATATTTCTTAAACAAAGAGAGAGAGAGAGAGAAAGGGGATACACAGTGAAGTTTTTATCTTCTGTATGAAATCAGCTAACCGTAAAAAAATGTAACGGGCCAACGAACTGACTTATTCAAGACATATATATATATCATTTATTTAACATCTCTTAGTAGCTATCCAAACATTTTTAATATGTCTCGCTAAAGCCCTATATAAATTATTTCTCTATCTACCTGGCACAAGACTACTTAGTAAGGATGTGAGCCATGACAAACAACATCTTAAGCTTTAACTAAGTTAAAAAAACCTTCACACGGTGATGTGAGAATTTGCTTAGAGTGAGCTGTCAAAAAACAAACAAAAATAAATAAACCACACAAATATTCGACTGACGCAATAACAACGACGACATTTGATACTATTTTTTTAAACTTCTATTGCCCTACGTTTACCATTTAACGTATTTAAAACATATTTTTCGTGATCAAATGGGCTACGCGTCATCTTGTGGTTTACGTGCCTGGATTGTCAATCCATTTCGTTTCGTTTTTCCTGGCAGTTATTTTGATTTAAAAATAATTATCTCCTAAGAAATAATTACTAATCAAGGGTGTTCGAAGATTAAACAATCCTCCTTCACCCTGCTCGTGGCATAAGGTTACATTTCAATTAATGGTCAGCGGAGTAATAAGCCGTATGGGCGAAGGGGTGATAGTAATAATTAATAAGTTAATTAATAGGATAATTAATTAATGAAATAAATACTATATGTATATATATTCCCGTGTATATACGTATGAAGGTGAGGCAAGTAGGCAGTAGTGAAGGCAGGTCCAAGGCGTAGCAGAGGCCGATTGATCTTTGAAGAAGGAGCAAGTCGGCAGCCGATTTTGACAAGTTATCGAAACAAAATGAAAGAAAATGAAATCCATTTCTAATTCTCAACTGATAGATATGGGCAACAACTGCAAACTCTTGAACTACTCTTGTCAGATCGAACAGTGGGATTTAACTGTCACTTTTATATCATACCCACCGCTTCGAAGTGTAGAGAGTGTTTTGAGGAAGGGGCAACGTATTATAAATTCTCGGATTCATAGTCTGGGAATATCAACCACTAGGCACGCTCTGTTCGGGAAAAAAAAAGAAAAAGACAACACCTAAACAAACTGAAATAGCCAGTCTTTTGTAAAAGCTTCTAGATAATCATATTATTAATTGTTTTTAATTAAACACAAAGCTATAATATGGGTTATCTCCTCTCACCACGGGTATCGTAACCCTGTTTCTAACGTTTTAAGTCCGCAGACATACCGTTGTGCCACTGGAAGGCCGTATTATTAATAACAGCAGAACATTATTATGGTACAGGACCGTCATGATGCATACTACAGTCAGTTTACACCTGTGGTGATGATGGTTTAAAACAAACAAACTATATAATCAGTAACTATTTCAAATATAAATATATATATACACAATTTATAAACGTAATATATTTTATTACATACTTAATAAATCAAGCTTTAACGTTTAATTTTTGCACCTGTTAATTTAAAGTAATCAATAGCACAGAATTCAGAAATTATCACATTTGATTAAAATTAAATTATTCTATATATTTTTGCATTATCTTTTAACAGCCAACAGAGCCAACTCGTATAGTACTTTAATCAAATAGTGGAACTTAACAGGTACTTTTATAACGTACCTACTCTCCTAAAATGCGGAACTCGATTTTATGGCAAGGGCGCGAAAACCATGGATCTTTTTACTCAAATTCTGGCACACTAGTCACGTATGGCGGTGTATTTTCATATACATATAAAGTACATAAAAATGTAGTATTCCCCCTAATAAAGCAAAATATAAAAAAAAATATTAAAGAACAAATTTAATGAATTATTTAATCACATGCTTTTACTTTTAAATTTACGTTTTATTAATGTATACATTTTAAAAATGTTCATAGGGCTATACACTTTCGCAAAACAGATTTATTGTTTTTTAACCTCGGCTATAAATGTGTATAATATTACCGACAGATGGCGTTTATGCTATGATGCAGGCAGCATGGATTGGAAAGCACTATTCCAATTGGATTAATTACATATAGCAACGTTCAATAACATGTGTAAACACTAGATTTCAGTTCTAATTTTTCTCGAAGTGAAGTTTAATTTTTTGTCATTTTTCCACACAATCTCTTTAATTCTGTGTTTTGTCTGATTGTTTGTCTTGTCTACTCTATATTTTTTC